CATACTTCTTTTTTCCAATAACAGTTTATATTCAATATTATTCTGTGTTAGTTTCAGATATACAGCAGAGTGGTTAGACAAGCATATACTTTACAGAGTGGTCTCCCCGATATTTCAAGTACCTCCCTGGCCCCATACATCGTTATTAGGATATTATGGACTGTATTCCCTATGGTGTACTTTACATCTCTGCAACTCTTCTATAACTATTTCTAAATGCATAACAAAGTTCAGTTTAATTCTTTCTACTATTGAGGGGTTTCTGCAAGGGACCAAAGGCCAAGAAAAATAAACCAGCTACCAAAGACCCAGAGATTATAAATCCTAAGGCAATGGTTCTCAACCTTCCTAATGCCGCGACCCTTTAATACAGTTCTTCATGTTGTGGTGACCCCCAATTTCATTGTTACAAATTGAACATAATTAAAGCATAGTGATTAATCACAAAAACAATATGTAATTATATATGCATTTTCCGATGGTCTTAGGCGACCCCTGTGAAAGGGTCGTTCGACCCCCAAAGGGGTCGCGACCCACAGGTTGAGAACCACTGTCCTAAAGCAAGGCCAGAGACCACTGCATGAAACTGGCTTTGCCCACCTTAGCTTGTGCCCCATTGTGAAGGTGTAAAGAGACCTGGGTGACCGACGGGGGCAGTGGGGGAGCTGGCAGTGTGAAGGGTTATGGAAAGCTGGGTGGTGTGCTGGGTGCGTGCCCTGCCCTCGCTGCTCAGTCTTAGCATTTCCACCAGCTTCACTGACACCACTTGGAGAGACATGTGCCACCTTAAAACAGAGGGATTTGAGGGCCGATATTTTACTCATAAATCCCCTACATAGGAAAGGCCGTGGCCCTGGTTCCCTGTGGGTGGCAAGGTGAACATGAGGTTTCTGTCTTGTCAGAGAGCCTCGCTGCATCCACTGCAGGGCAGAGCCAACAGAGGACCATTTCAAGGAGGAGCTTGAGAATTTGCTTCTCTAACAGGTGCCAGGTGGTGCTGCCAAGCACCCTCTGAGGCTCCGCTCCCTAATTAGCCCTGCCTGCAGACGTCACAGGGGTCAATGTCATACACGTGGTCACAGGGCATAAGCACACATTTATTTTGTAAAACCGGGCAGGGGAGCACAAATGCTTATGTGCATTTTATCACTCTCCCAACACAAAATCTTTTGTGAACTCTTACTGAATGTCAGCATCCCAAATATTAAACTCAGGCCCTTTCGTGACATCTTTCTTAAAATAAGAATTCTGTCCTTGCCTTCTCCATCCATTCCTCCCTGTGTAGGCTTATAAAACTTGTTCACACTTTGTATACAAATCTGAAAATGCAAGGATATGGATGAACATTTTATAAAATACAGTAAACCCTCGATTTTGCAGACCTCAATTTAACAGACTTTGGATTTAACAGACAAAATTTCCAATCCATGTGTCATATGTGAAAATTAACACCCTGTTAATTTAAAAATGCTTTTAACCAAGATTTGCTTGTAATTAAATTCACGGGTTATATATGTTTTTTGTTATTAATTCACTGCTATTTTTAACAAATTTTAGCAACTAGGCCATATGTTGGAAAAATGCTTTAGTCATTTCACCGACATAAATAAATATTACATATCTGCAACTATAGTCTACATGTTAAAATCCAAGAGTCACCAGTCGTAAACAATGTTTGGATAATGATCCGCTGAATGATTAGCATGTAATCACACCAAATGATTAGCTCGTGATCGCACTGAATGGTTACCACGTGGTGACACCGCATCACACGCGGGATCATTGGTTCTGTAGTCTCCTGTTGTGGCTTTCTGCCACAGTTTTAACGTGTGCCCACAATGTTCCCACGTGCACTAAGCCACGCCCCAGCCGTGTACATTTGTTTACTCTCAGTGACTGGTGGGTACAAACATTTACTAGATCTATTCAGTATAAATTTAAAATTGCTGTAATACATATAGAAAAGTTTTCTGTGAAATTAAACTTTCCCTGTATATTTCATTTTAATTATACAAAAAGGTCTACATAAGTAAAAACAGGTAAACTAACTAATTTGTCATTTTTGACATTTGCATTTGGAAAACCTACTTTATTATATAACGGACTTTTGGCTTTAACCGACAGCCCCTTGCCCGAATTAGTCCATATGTCTGAGATTTTACCAAACACTGGTTTCTGGTGATGTCTTGTGCTGACGATAGTATGCAGTAACTGGATCGTGCAGAGGAGGGCGCTGTGGTATCACATTTCCCTGTGTGCTGTCAGTGAATTCCTGAAGAGTCCCTGCAGGATTTATAAAGTAGGAAAGTTAGATGGTCCCTTCGCACTTCTCTTTTTAAAATACTCCTGAGATTGGGAAGTGACAACTTCAGAATTTCTACTGTTGGAACTAGAAGTCTTTACCTGACTTGGTCCATCCTTGCCAGCCCCTGATACTTTCCTATTTGCGGTTCATTAATTTGGAAGAATGTGTTTCAGCCGCGGCATCAAAATTCTCCTCAAATTTAAGAAGACCCAATTTTTTATGGATTTTTTTTCCCCTAAAGCCAGTTTTACAATTGAGGGTTCATTTGATACGCATATTTTGTTACTGAAGGTATTCTCATCCACTTGGAACACTTAGAATGAAAGCTGCTTTTCTGCAGCGTCCTGCACTGTGTATTTGCCTGGCCCTACTGGATATTGAGGTGATGCAAGAAATAGTTACTAAATCACAAAATGCTATCACCAAATGATAATCAATTCTATACTTCTACAGATTACTCAGATTAACATTGCAATAGATCAATAACAAAACGAATTTTTAAAAATCAGCCTTACCTGTGAAAGCCGAGATACCCATACTAAGATTTTTTTTTCAATTCAGTATTGGTTAATTAACAATAGATTCGATATTGAAGCATCTGGTTTTCCCCTAGCCCCATTACTGAGATCGCTCTGTTATCTACGTGTCCTACTATGTAAAATGTAGTTTGATGAGAAAGAAAGCACGAGATGAAGTATGAATTATCCACTAGCTCTAGCAAACCCTTATAAAGAAAACTGTGTGCTGATTGGCCAGTGAGGGGCGAGAAACGGATGGTGTTTGTAACTAAAGCATTTTTTTCTCTAAGAAGCTTTTCTGGAGCCTCTTGATCAGACTTGAAGAACTGTGCCCTCCTCGAAAAGAAACGATAGGATCTTAAGCGTCATCCTGGAAGGGAAGTAGGGAGCATCTGCCTCAGTCACTGATCAGCAATGGCTTTGACAGCAAGTAGCAGCGTCCTGGGAAATCTGGCTCAATCAGACGGGGCTGTGTTTTCCTGGCGCGTGAGTGGCAGCGGTGGCGGGGCTGTTGCTCATCGGGCTGAGGTCTCCCCAATGCCCAAGGCTGTCCTCCAGGTTGCAAGGTGACTGCTGGGACTCTCACTGGTGACGATGAGTTCCAGGGAGCAGAGAAGAGGAAATGAAGGAGAGGGGGAAGGGGCAATTCCAGGTCCGGATGGAAAAACTCCATATGCCCGTAGAGAGCTGCTCATCTCTCGTTGTTGGCAAACAGCCACTGTCCGCCTCTGCCAGGGAAGGCTGGGAAGCAGCTCTGCTCTGGGCACAATGCCGACCCTCGTGGAATTACTGTTCTGTTAACAAAGGAAGAAAAAAGAAGGACATCCTCTCCCCAAAGTGCTCTGTCGTAACCTCGGACACAGTTCGCATCTTATGACGAGGCAAGTGGGCCTATCGAGGTTAAAGGACTTCACACACGTCTCAGAGCCAGGGCTTCATGGACGTAATGGATGCCCTCTTGTGTTCTATTGGGTTGTGCCTGGAATTTTATGTGGGGGTGGGGGTCTTCGAAGTTCTAAAGATTTTGCTTTAACAAGAGCACTAAATAAAGAAGACGAAGAATCACAGATTATTGAAAGCTTAGCCCATGACGTCACCTCTAATAAGATCGTGATTGGATTTTCCTACAGCAATAATGCAAAGAAAAATGAAATCACAGTTCCTCACGCAAAAATGAAGTGGTACCCTAGCTGTCAAAGCATCGCCATTTCATTTGAGGTTCTGTTTCTTCCAAGTTAATAATGGACTTGCTCTGGCTGGTGTGGCTTGGTTGGTTGGGCGGGGGCCCTGTACACCTAAAGGTTGCTGGTTTGATTCCTGGTCAGGGCTCAATCCCTGGTAGGGGTTGTGCAGGAGGCAGCAGATTGATGTTCGGCGCTCACATGGATGTTTCTCTCCCTTTCTCTCTCTCTCTAAAAAAATAAATAAATAAAAATATTTTTTAAGTTAACAATGGACACATTCCCTCATGTAACCCTTCATGTATGACTCTAACAATAGTTCCCCCACCACCACCCCCTGACGGAGTCAGCAGCCCTCAACTCCCTGCGCAGGGGGTGACTGGGGGGCAGCCATTGTACTCGTAGTGACTGCGGAAAATCAAGACTGCTCTAAGAGGGGCCACTGCTGGTTTTCTCACGTTGCCCAGATAACAAAAGTAGTGTTTTCTAGAAGACTTGTGAACCCATGTTGACTTCCTCTCACAGCCATTCAACTATTTTGTTGGATTTATACATTAAAAAATGCAACACTGTCTCAGGTTACATATTCATCCAAGAAGAAATCATATATTGCTACTAGTACTTGTAACCTAGTGCCGCAAAGAAGTGAGATGCAGAACCCTGGGAGGAAATTTTTTCTAAAATATTACAAGTATCCCATTCATGCTACGGGGCAAGGAAACTATAGGCTAGCAAAACAGAAATGACTTGATTTAGTTCATGTGGACACTAGGAAAATATCGTTTTCATTTTCATATTCATCCGAGTTACCTATAATGCCACAGGTTATGATTTCAAATCTTTATAAACATGAAGACTAATTTGAACATGAGTGTCCTCTGACAAGGCAAACATCTCATGTTTTCCCTCCAATCCTGATCTCTGTGCGGGGTGTAAATGGGGGCCAAAATGTCCTAGTTAGAAACTCAGTCTCATGCGATTTGTTTCTGATTGCAGTGGGAGAAACTACAGATGACCACGAGCGAAAGGAGGAAAATATTCTGCTCTGTCACATTCCACGTCATCGCCATCACCTGTGTGGTGTGGTCTTTGTATGTATTAATAGATCGGACAGCGGAGGAGATCAGGCAAGGCAATGACAATGGTAAGAGCACCTTCCTTTTCTTTCTCTCTCTCTTGGATTCTATGACAATACCCAGAGCTGGGTAGGAAAACCATTTCCCCAGTTTAGATCTTCATGTATGATACACTAGCAAAAACCAGTACTGGAAACCGAGTCTTCTCCAATTGTGCTCTGGCTCTAAAGCATTAGATGTTTGGGGTCCTAAGCGGAGAGGCGAGATAATGAAGTCCATGTAGACCTTGGTGGGGAGAAATACTTGTATGCCATCCATCACTCCAGACTTCACAGGAGCTGAATAAGCATCAGGTTCTTCCTCCTTTGCAAAGGCAAATAGTATTAAAAATGGAAGGCCTTTTTATTTTATTTAGTTCACCCTAGTCATTGCTTCTTTTAGAACATGAATAAGATAATACTCTGGTAGAGAATGTTATTGCTTGTTACTTAATACCGTGTAATGTGGTAGGATTAGCACTGTGGTTTGAAATTTTAAACATACTAGGTTTGACTGTCAAGTCTGCAAAGAAGGGTGTTTAAAAGTCATTAAGGCATATTCTAACATTTAATGTGCATCGGTGGTTTAAAATTGATTGTCTTCACTTCTGAAGGTACCACCTGTTTCTCACCGGGCTCTAAGTGTTACCATATAGCCTCAATCATAGCCAGTAAAATAGTGAGAAATAGTCCCCTAACCCCCTCTTCCTCGCGGGAGAAGGGGAAACACAAAATTAAACCCCTGGTGAATTTGAAAGGAGAAATTGCTCAGATGGTAACTGTATCTTTGCACGGTTATGGAATGTTTATTCATCTCCATCAAAAAAGAAGGAACATGAAAGAAAGAAAAAGATGAGAGGAAGTGAGGAAAATAGTTTTAAAAGGGAAAGCTTTGTTACTTCTATATCTCTTCGGTTTCATAAAAGCAGAAAGATGTTGCATTCTCACACTTGCCCTCATGGTGGCAGCAGTGCGCACCAACATGTGCTCTCCCGGCGGTCTAGGAGCAGAAGGGGACCTGGGCCAGTAAAAGGGACTGTGAGGCCTTGCCAGATGCCCTGGGATGTGGTTTATGTAGTTTAAGGGGGGTGAGGGGCCGAGGAGGGGTGAGGGGCAGAGGAGGGGTGGTGACGGAGTGACAGATCCCGCTGTTCTCTTCTGAAAGAGAATGAAAGTGCTGTGGTTAGAAACACAGGTAGGGTGAGGTTTTGTTTGTTTTTTGGCCCATCCTGAGGTGCTGGATTTAAGCATGTCTATTGGGTCCTTATTAAATAATTTCCTAGAAGGTCGGGCCTTTAAAAAAAATCCATGTTCCCTATATTTACAGGTACTGGCCCAAGCAAAGTCACAGAAAATGCTCCAGAAACATTGCCTTGCATATGTATGGAAAAACAAAGAGGCATTCCACCACCATCCCCACCTTCCTATACCCGACATACGACCTCGCGACTCCAGGGTTTTCCTAGCAATCTAGGGCAGACACGATAGCCAGAGACTTCATATCTGTAGATGTCTAACTTGGAGTTCGGTGTTTGGGAGTCATGAATTTGCCCAGTGTGGCCTTGCCCTCTCCCAGGGGTCACCCCAATTTGGTCCAGGTACATGAGCCTGCAGGGCTCTTTCTGTCCTCCTTCAGCCACATGTGAGGGGAAAATTAAGCACACCTCCTTTTTTAAAAAAGAAAAAAACTGCATCATTTCAAAGTCAACATGTTTTCCATCCATCTTAGAAACCTTCAAAAATATTTGAAGAGGGATAAATTGTCCAGAATTGAGGTTATAAATCAGCAAAATCTTTTGAACTGTAATAGCAGTCCTGAAGGGGGGGGGGGACCCTTGTTGTTGTTGTTGTTGTTTTTCAATGTATTTTTATTGATTTGAGAGAGGAAAGGGGGGGGGGGAGAGAGAGATAGAAACACCAGTGATGAGAGAGAATCATTGATCGGCTGCCTCTTGCATGCCCCCTAACTGGGGAATGAACCTCCTGGCTCATAGCTCAACAGTCAACCACTGAGCCACACCAGCTGGGCAAAACCTTCTTGTTCTAAACTGGTTGTTCTTTCAGATTAAATATGCATGATGCCCCAGATAGCTCTCTCACCTCACTCTCTTTCTCTCTGTCACCTGTAAAGGGTAAAAAATAAAATAAAAATTCATGGTGCTTGAAACTTTAATATCCTGAATTACCCATGTTGCCAACTCTAATGAGAACAGTTGCTCTTTGTACCTTATCTTCACATATTCTAGAAGAATCCTCCAGTATACTACTTATGCATTGAAAACAAAACACAGACCAAGAAAAAAAAAAAAACAAAACACAGTTTTAAAGACTGGAGGTACAGATTTTATTGTTGCCCAGAATTTTTTAAATGTATGCACCACAGAAGACGAGCATAACCAATTGATTTTTTTTCTCCATGCCTAACTCACTGGTGAGCCTCTACGTATCCCCAGGGCAGGGGCCATGATTCGTTATTCAGAGAGCGCTTGGTATTAGAGGCTCCAAAATCTTTGCTGGCTGCAGCTGAGTCCAGCAGATAAGAACTGTGGCTCTTAACATCTGTTTAGAGTATGTGTTAAAGATCACTTCCCTGCAATCCATAAATTATTTTTCCAGCATTAGTGTTTAAATGATTCCTTTTTAAATTAATTACATGTGCTGCTGTTGTTAACAATCCAGATGTGATAAGCACTGACTTGGGCTGGTTGTCAGAGGCCAGGGTTCTAGTTTCGCCTTGGTCTCTGGCTAGTTATGGTGAACAAAACCATTAGTCACTCAGAAGCTCAGTGTCCTCATTTGTAAAACTAACCCTAACCTCCAAAGGTTCTTTTTATGATTCATTTTTCAAAGACACCATGAACCTGGCCTTGCCTCAGATAAATGGAAACTTTGTGTTTATACAATAAGGCACATATATCATGCCTGTTTACTCGCTCTGAGTATTACCCTTGAAACAAGGAAAAGGTTATAAATATGCAAAACTTCTCCTTTGTTCCTTCCTTTTTTTTTTACTTCTTTCTTTTTAAAATAATATACCATCTGGAGAGAAGCAACCAGCATAAAAGTGAAGAAAACCACCTCCCAGTCTTATCAGCCATACACACCATTATACAAACACATTTCGTAACTGTATATAACCTCAGCACCCAGCTGAAAGACCCCAACTTAACAATGGGGTGCTTTTTCTAACTATTGCATTGGTTCTGCGGCTGTGCAGTGAGACAGGTTCTCTTCTGCTGTTGGGGACTCAGAAAGGCTTTTCTGACACACCCCACGTGCCTGCAGTCACGTGACCTGCTACGTAAGATAGGAGAATTGGAACTTAAAAGTTGGAAGAGACCTTAGAGGTCAGTTTTAAAGATGAGGAAATCAGTAATTTGCCTCCTCTGCAGCTATATCATAAACACCCACCTGGGAGCTTGTGGTTTACCCAATGGGATTTATAAAGGAGTCTGAGAGGGGCCAGTGGGTACATCCCACTTTTCAAGCCATTGTCATTGTGGCCTGAAGGTTTAGCGTGTTTCCTATCAAACACAATACACAGAGTTGCCACTTAAGTATTTCAGGACCTTTAGCTAACCTTTAGTGAGATTTCTGAACTGTTCTAGTGAAGGGAATTAGAATTGCAAGGCATGCCCAGGGGCACAGGTGAGGAGGTGTAGTGCTGACAAATGCTAGGGGCTTGGCTGGCAGCCAACAGGACTTCCTCCTTCCCAGGATTCCTGGTTTTCGTTGCCTGGCGTCCAGGTGGGACATCCAAAGATTGAAGCTCAATGCAGTAAAAATGTATTATAGGCACAGTGAAAGTTTTGCTCTTAATCTACAACCCATTAAGCCAGCCAAAGATGGGTAGCATTTAAATCACTCGGCAACAAAAACAAATTTACATTCTTGTAGCAGTTTCTATGTGTCAAGAACTATTCATTTAATCCACACTGAAACCCCATGAGGTAAAGACTAGTATTACCTCCATTAGCCTTTATCTTTTGCTGTATAATAAACATATTAATGATTTTTACAATGAAAACATGTTTAGATGACACTATTTTGGCCATATTGGGGTGGGGGGAGAGGAAAGTGGTGGTTCTCAGTAACAAAATAAAAATGTTATTAAATTTTGACTAAAGTGACTGCAATCCTAAATTTTATGTATGTCTGCACTTAGGAATTCTCCTTCTCTGGTGAGATGTGGTATCTTCTTTCTCCTCCCCCCTCCCCTCTCTTTTAAGGGAATGAGGGTGGGGAGGCAGACCTGTAGGTACAATCTCATACATCTATTACTTTACCTTGTTAAAAAGGATTTTAAATTCTGATTCTTTCACTATGTTCACTGTCCTCCTTAAAGATTTAGCTACAAGGAATAAATGTCAAAGTACATATCAAAAGTCTAATGTAGTATCTGATCACTTGATAATAGGTGGAAAAATATGAGAGATCATTACAGTGGTAGGAAAGAGAATTTATTCACATACAATGTTAACATCTTTAGAATATTTGAAAGCAATTAAGCAATTCAGGTTATAATTCTTATCCACAAAATTTAACATTTATATAGCGATCAATTCCTTACCCACAATTATTTTTAAATGTTTTTATTGATTTCCGAGAGAGGAAGGGAGAGGGAGAGGAGGAAACATCAATGATGAGAGAATCATTGATCAGCTGCCTCCTGCACGCCCCTTACTGGGGATGGAGCCAGCAACCTGGGCATGTGCCCTGATGGGGAATCCAACCACGACCTCCTGGTTTATGGGTCCACGCTCAACCACTGAGCCACAGCAGGCAGGCATGGTCTTTTGAAGGGGTCATGGAGAAAGATTACCAAATACATTGATAACATTCTCTCTCTTTTTGCTTCAAGGTGTCCTAGAATGGCCATTCTGGACAAAACTGGTTGTGGTGGCCATCGGCTTCACAGGAGGTCTCGTCTTCATGTATGTACAGTGTAAAGCCTACGTCCAGTTGTGGCGCAGGTTGAAGGCCTACAACCGTGTAATCTTTGTGCAGAACTGCCCAGACACTGCCAAAAAGCAGGAGAAGAGCTTCTCGTGTAACGTAAACACGGACACCAAGGATGCGGTCGTGGTGCCTGTGTCACAAACGGGTCCAAATTCCCTGCCCTCCCTGCCCTCCGCAGAAGACAGCCCTCCGGAAGTGATGCCGGTGTGACTGATGCAACAGGTGGGAGTTCCTTCAAAGAAGATCTTTCTAACCTTCGGCCACAACAAATGACAGAGATGATCCTGAATTACTCACTTTCTGTATCTTCTCCCCTTTCTCTCACTGACTCGTTTCCCTTATTTGGCTTAGAAAGGAAAGGAGGAGAAGACACCAAATGACAAGACCCCATGAAACAGAGTCTGAAGTGATACGGAAACGTGACAAGTTTGCTGAAGAGTCGTCTCTGAAAGGATTAAAAGTCGCCGGAGCGAGGAATACTTTCAGGCAATGTTCATCATCAGACCAAATGGGCACACGAGTCTTCACAGTAGCAGGGGAGAGTTTAAGAACACAGACTTGAATTGCAATGTGTAATTCTTCTAAGGCCTCGTGATGTTAACTATCTCGTCTGGAAATAGCAAGCATAGTTGGTTTTAAGCTTGAAATTGTCCGCATTGCCCCTCAGGCACATCAGAAGCACACTCGGAGGATGCATCTTTGATATTCACACTTTGACGGAGAACAGAATTTGATGGTTAGTGCAGTCCAGTTGTTTTGACAGATGCATGATTTTAAAAGACACAGTATGTATTTGAAGATATTAACTTGGAATTCTATTTAAATGGTGAACAAAAGATTTTCATTGATTTTTTTTGGGGGGGGGGATTATTTGGCTATTAAATATCCACATAAGTTGAAATCAAGTCTCAGGTTCCATATTTTATCTGAACCCTCTAAAACAGTGTAGTGTAGCAGAAGTGTAATGTGAGCTACAAGTGCAGGCTACCTATGTAAATTTAAATTTTTCTAGCAGCCCCATTGGAAGCTTTTAAAAGAAAATAAGTGAAATTAATTTTGAGAATGTCTTTTATTTGACCCTATGTATTCAAGTCATTTCAACATGTTATCAATATTAAAAATTATTGACTCTGACTGGGTAGCTCAGCTGGTTAGAGCATGGTCCCACAGGTTTGATCCCTGGTCAGGGCACATACAAGAATCAACCAATGAATGCATAAATAATTGAACAACAAATCGATGTTTCTCTCCCTAATCTCAATAAAAAATTATTGAGGTAGTTTACATCTCTTTTTATGAACCAAGTCTTTGAAATTCAGTTTGTGCTTTATCCTTACAGCATATCTCAATTTGAATTAATTATATTGGCTTAGCACAGCCCTAAACTTGGAGACAGAGCCTCTGATTCATTCAACAGTTGAATACTTTAAAACAGCAGCTTAATTCACTCTTTCACTCAAAGTCTCACAAATGTTAATAATTTTACACAGCACTAAATAAATCAAATTAAATAGGCTGGTTGAAAAGTTAGACGAATTCACTAAAGGATGAAAAAACCAAAGTATAGAAAGATACAGCCATCTGCCTGGGGCAAGGTTCTGAAAGAAACTTGTTTGCTATGATGAAGCACTTCTGAAGGGGAAAATAACAATTAAATATTTTGTTATTAAGTCAAATGTGTAAGGCTTTTTAAAAAAAAAAAAATCCATACAATGTGTCAACTTGACAGATGAATAGTTAAGCATTTCAACTCTATTTTTAAAAGCTGACAGTATTTCCCTTGCTCAGCTGGGAAGCAAAAACATTCAACAGATTCTGTGATAAGTAATAAATTGAGTTGTTTAGGTTTGACAGTTCAGTTGATTATTGTGTTCTTTGCATATTCATGTAAAACTGGTGTGAATGATGTTGCAGTGAGCTAGACTAATGATTATAGATATAGTGGCCTGTCAAAAAAGATGTCTTACATTTTAAAGAGGTGATTTATTTTTGTTAGCTGTCATATTTATTATTGTGAAAAGGCAACCGTGATGGCCATAAGAACCAAAGCATGGGTATCGCATTGCACAAATCCGGGTATCACATTGACGCACTTTGTAATTATCCGTGTGCTTGTTCTTCACTGATTATCATAGAAAAAAGGAGAAAGAAATAACCTTTTAATGAGAAAGATGACTATTAGTAGTGGCTGACACTGAGTCCAACAGTCCCAATTCCTAGAAATAAAGGGAAACAATGTCTACCCTGTGTGTGTGTGTGTATCCATGTACATACATGAGAAAAATATTCTCATTCAGGCAGGAAACAAAAGGTTTGAAACTCATCTTTCTTAAAACGTATTATAGGGATGTGGAATAAAGGCAATGAGAAAACAAAGTTGAGGTAATTAACCTGAACCAAAATTTCTGTACAAATAAGGACATAAAACGGTGTACTAGTAATAAAAAATAAGGACCTTAAACAAACTAAACTCCATGCCCCCCTCCACCCAAGGGATTAACCTTGATTCAACTGAACTGTTAATTTCCCTAAGCTTTTTACTAATCCATGTTTCCTATGGTTTAGAGATGGCAACATGCTGTTTACAAATATTCCTGGGTGGAAAAATCTAGCCACCAGCAAACAAAGAAATGATTTCTCTTTTGTTTGCTCTGGAAAGAAAAGGATTGTTAGCACCACAAATACTGTTTATATACTGTGCAGACCTAGGCAAAATAGATCAGTGCATAGCTCATTTCACAGTGGCAGGTGACTGGCTAAAATAAGGCCTCGTGTATTAAGGGCTTCCCTCAACACTAAGAACACATTTCTGGGATGAAAAGTAAAGGTGAGCATTACTGTATGAATGACAAAAGATGATAGGGTATTATCTTAAAACCATACCTAAATTCTCAACATGAACTTGTACAGGCTTTGACTTTTTTTGAAATGAGAAAATAATAGAGCTCCCTAGCAGGTTAAAAGTCAGTATTTTATTCTGCTATTCTTCTGACCGTTTTGAACCCTGAACTCCTGAATTTAAATCTTTTTAAAACTTTTTCTGCAATGGCTGTTTATGGTTCAATCTAAATAACTATGTGCACTTGAAACCTAATGTGGATTATTTTCTTCTTATGTTCTGTGTGGCAATGGTGCATTTGCCCTTTCGAAGGATTTGGCTTTGTAACAGGGCCTATGTGGACTGGACATACCCTTCAAAGAGAAGAGCTGCTCTCCAGGATGACGACTTTTCCAAAGCACGTTTCCCCGTTCATGGAAGAAATAAAATGGAATTGAAACAAAGGACTGACTTTGAAGAATGAGCTGACAGTTCTGTTCAGAACTTTGGATTCTTATAATCATTAATCTGTGGTATTATCCATCCCATACATCACATAGCTTTATGCTGTTAATTTTTTTTAAAGAACTGCCACTTTTATTATATAGGATCAAAGATTAAATTATAAAGAATTAAGATTCAAGTATCTTTTTAAAAGTGAAGTGCAAAGGGCCATGAAGCTTAAGTACAAGCACAAACCAAAATAGAAAAGAAAAACAAAAACAGAAATGATCCCATCAACCTGAGTGAGCAATGGAGAATTGAAAGAAGATAGGTGTATATACTGAATGCCCCAGGATTAAATCTTCACTCTGAGCTGCTGCTACATGTGATTCTAGTCCCAGAGAGATGGCCCCATAGTTACATTTATCTTGTGCAAAAGGTCCTTGGGTCCTCCTCAAACAGCGAGTCTTTGGTTGGGAAATTAGCTCATCAGTGCAGTGACATTATTATCATTGTCACTAGGGTGAGATGGGGAAGACTGATACAGTTTACCTAGCCTTGCCTTGCCAATGAACATTTTGGAACAAAGTGGAGCTATTAAAACTCATTATCGTCATTATTGTAGTTGTTATGTAATAATGGTGTAGGACTCACACTTTAAGAAAGATGAAAACCTTTTTTCTTTCCTTAAATCAGCCCAAAGGTGCTATTTTACATATCAATACAGTTGAAAGGACATCCTGTTATTTTGGGCTGTTTCCTCATATCTGATGAAAGCCCACTTTGAGATTGGATTTTGCATTAAAACAAACAAGAAACAATTATTTTGACTGTGTGCAATTTTTGAGGTTGAGCATTTGTACTTTTTTGGTTTTACCTAATTCTCTTGCATTAACACTTTACTGTTTTGTGAATAATGTGTATTAAGACAAATTAAGGAAAAGAATATAATTATCTGTGAAAGACTTTGTATATTAAACAAGTGACTCGTACCTTTTTTGTGGTTTCCATAGTTTTTTTTTTTAACTTACCAGAATTTCTGCTGATTTGTATCTGCAACATTCAAATGAGGGAGTTATTCAGATTTTTCAATGGTCTGGGTTTTTAATCTGAGTGTGAACATATTTAAAATTATTTTAAGGCCAACAGAGACTGACTAACCCATGAAATTGTAGAGTCTGATAAACATGCACTAACGGGGGAAAACAACAGAAATAATTATACAAACTTTCAAACCCTGCTTTAAAGATGACAGCACAGGCAGAGAAAACAGCAAGTGCCCAAGTCCTGACTGGGAAATGTCAAGCAAGGTTCAGCCAGTAAAGAAACCACAAGCCCTTGTTAGTGTCAGACAGTTCATTACCTAGATAGCAAAAGAAACCCGAGCTATGGAGCCAGCTGTCGAGTCTTGCCCCAAGGAAAGGCACAAAAAGAAAAGGGCCAGATGACAGGATGACGGAATGTATGGACTGTTACTGAGATGCTGATTCCACATGCAGCTGAGCAATGTTATGGCCTGCAGCTACACCCAGAAGAGATGACAGGTGGAAACACTGCTACCTCATCAGAACCCAGGAGGCAATGACAAACTGGGCCACAGGTCATCCCTGTAAGATAGGGAGGCAAAGGTGAAGGGGCCGATGACAGTTTCTCACAAGCATCTCATATCGTGTTCCAGGAAGATCACAGGGCATTCTAAAGCTCAGGTTGGCTGTGATCAAACCTGGCCTAAGTGGCCACACTCATGGTCATCAGGATGCCAGCACAGAGCTGTTCCACTGTAGGAAACAGCTTGGGTATTTTAGGAATGGACAGAAGGCCAGTGTGTCTGAAGGGCTAGTGGAAACAAGCTGAGGTTGGAGAGGCAGTCAGGAATCATTGCAGGACTCTTTGGCTGCGCTCCGAACCTGAATTTCATTCAAAATGTGATGGATGTCATTGTAGGCTTGTCAATTATTACAGGTGTACCATTCTGGTAGGGGATGTCGATAATGGGGGAGTCTATGCGTGTGGGAGGGCTATATGGAAGATCTCTTTTACCTTTCTCTCCATTTTGATGTAAACCTGAAACTGCTCTATAAAAGTAAAGTCTTTTTAAAAAGTGGTTAGAAACAAAATAGTACATCAAAGAAACAAACACACCACTAAAACTGTAACGGAATGATACTGCGACAACATTGAACAAATGAGCAGCATATCTTAGTGTACATTCTTAAAAAGCGCAGCTCTGGAGAATGGGTTAAGTGGAGCAAGAATGGCGACATGAAGGTGCCAGGAAGCCACTGCGCACAGTACAGCCAAAGGCATGGTGGCTCAGGGGAGGGTGACCAGCGGAGATCGCCTGACATGGGCTGATTTAACATTCTTTTTGCAAATAAGAAACCAGAAATACCCACTAATTACATTAGACTGGGGGAGGGCAGGGAAGAAAGAGAAGAATCAATGATGATTTATATCCATTTTTTTTTAGCGGGGGGGGCTTGAGAAATGAGGTGAAAAACTTGGGGAGAATCAAGGTTCCTGAGAAGGCAATAGGGAGTGGGATCCAGAACAGGAGTGGAAGGATTGGCCTTTGAAAGGAGAAAAGCTACTACACCCATTAAATCGAAAGAAAATAAGTTTCTGTTTTCTCAATTATGTATAAAAAGTTAACAGCTGAACACTGGGGAAGGTAGTATTAAAGTCAAACTAGGAAGCATGAAAGAGCAGTAAAAAGAAATTACCTCAGAGTTGAAAAATGAGCTTCTTAGGGGAAACCCAGTAGAATTGCTAAACAGTGTTGAGAATCCACTTGAGATTTGGAAACATAAATGGGAAAATGGTCTGTCTGATAGTCTCTAGCAAGGCTGAGCTGCTTGGGAGCAGGTAGAAGGGGACAGTTAAGTGAGCCTTACTTGGTTTGGGTGTTGAAAGAGGAACGCTGTGCAGTCAGGCAGGAATTGAGAGCACATGCAAGGAAGCCACTAGGAACTTCAGCAATGGAGAGGAATGGGAGACAGAGAATGGAGAATGAAATGCTCAAAGTCAAGTTTATAGAAACTTCAGGTGCTAAGGATCTGGGTGGGTGTGACCACCTAAAGGCCTCTGAAGGGAGAGAGAAAAAGACTGAGAAACTTCAAGAACACAGTGTGAGATCTGTTATTCACAAGGCTACTGGGATCACTAAAATCATTGAAATAGGAGAGAAGAAAACTGAGCCAAGAGCTAAAATCTTCAAGGAATGAACAGAAGGTCCTTCTGGGAGGTAAGACAATAAGGAAAGGGGGAAAAAATAACAGAACTGCAAGGAACTAAGGGAGAAATTACCTGAACGTGGCAGTAGAGCAAAGAGGACACCTATCCAACCTCTGCCCCTGAAGTACAGGGGGTAGGAGTAGAAAAAGCTTGTATTTGAGGCTAGAAAACGAGAAAAACACTTCAGTTGGAAAGGCAAGGAAGTGACTAGGATATTAGGAAAAGAGACCACGGATGTCAGAGTTAGTTGCTCTGAGCTTAGAAGTGTATCACTGGCCTATGTCCATGGAAGTTCAGCTCACTGATTTAGAGCAGCAGTTGGCAAACTATGGCAAGCAGGCCAAATCCATCCTGCAGCCTATTTGTGAATGGCATTGAACCAAGAATGGTTTTTACATTTTTAAAGGGTGGCAAAACACAAACACACACACACACACACAATTATACAACAGAAAGCACACCTGGCCTGTAACAACCTAAAATATTTCCTGGCCTGTAACAACCTAAAATATTTACTATCTGGCTCTTACCAAAAAAAAAAAAAAAAAAAAACTTTGATAGGCCCTAGTTTATACAGAAGTGCTAACAAAGTGAGTTACTCTGTCTCTGTTCCATGGCCATGGACTACAGAAGCCATCATACAAAGACAGACTACTGATCTAAAAGGAGTCTAGATAAGGGAGCACAAGTTATTACTGCAGAAAGAACATGTTCCATAGATAAAGATTAAGTGTATCACTTAAAAGCATTACTCCAAAGACAAAGTATGTCTTAGGCTACTTTGGTCCAGCAAGAAGTGACATGGCAAGTGTGGTTCTAGAGCAGGGGTGGGCAAACTTTTTTACTTGAGGGCCACAATGGGTTCTTAAACTGGACCGGAGGGCCGGAACAAAAGCATGGATGGAGTGTTTGTGTGACCTAATATAAATTCAAAGTAAACATCATTACATAAAAGGGTACGGTCTTTTTTTTTTTTTAGTTTTATTCATTTCAAACGGGCCAGATCCGGCCCGCGGGCCGTAGTTTGCCCACGGCTGTTCTAGATGATAAAGTCAATCATTCAACAAATATTTATCTGTTCTAGTTCCAAGCACTGTGTCTTGTTACATTTTTCTTGCTTTGATATCATAGGGAAAACTAGGAACAAATGCTTGAGGGGAAGAATAATATGTCACTTTCACATAACTGTCAGTTACTCACCTGACAGCATGGCTTTTTAAATATCAGACCACACAGCGCACTTACTATTCTCTTTACTGTAATTTATGACTCAGTTTTCATAGCTGTTTGAGACTAAATATAAATCCTCCAAAAGGAAATTTTCTAATGATTAAAGAGATAGAGACCTTCTTATGTAACCATAACCCATACTTTCACACAGATCACTAAAGCAAAGGCAAGTCAGCAGCAGTTACATCACTGCAAATGAAATAATTAGAAGTGAAATTATGAAAATAAATTTTATTTTTAATTTTCAAAAGTAAAACATCCATAACATTTTTAATAAACTGTTAATATAATTTAGTTGATACCTAGTTAACCTCATATGGCATTAATGTTTTATTCCTTTTTCTTGAAAAGACTCCAATATACTTGCATTTCATCCTTCAGGAATAGACTAAAGGATACTTGCATGCAAGTTCTGCAAAGAACAACCTTCTACTACCTCCATAATATTCATGACACTTGAAATACTGAGTTATACTAGTTGTCATTTAACCTACCTCTTAGAAGAAAAAATAACACAATTGAAAAAATTGGTTCTCTAATCTTTAGGTCTGTTTCCACAAATAAAACCTATCACTTTTCACAATGAGAAAGCAGAAAATATACAAACAAAAAGAGCTAACCTGAAATCATCTATTTCCTTTATCAAAAGATAGCAGATTATGTGTGAGAGATCAACCTAAGAATAGTCACTGCATTTTTTTTTCTTACCATTTAGCTCTGGCTCAAAGATAATAAATAAAAATAATGTATAATCCATCAGTGTATAGGAATTCCATATTATATTTAGATTTAATGTTTAAGAGGAACATTAGTGAAAGGCAATTTTGCTGTCATCACTGCTAAAGAAGTACCCACAGGACCCTTTTAGAAAACAGGTTGCTGTCATTGCCCCCAAATGTGAGATTAGGTGATCCTAAGTAAACATGAGGAAAAGAACTAAAACATTTTTTGTCCTTATTCATAATGCTCCTTCCTGCCCCAGATAGTAAGATAAAATCGATCTATTTTATTTTATGTCACTGTATCTATTTTAGCAATTTAATGTAAATAAAAAGCAATATTCATTTTTAAATAAAAATCAAAACATTGTTTTTTAAGCTGCAAATGGTATTCTCATCTTGTAAGATGAGCTAAATAGCAAATTCTTGTATCTAGACAATTCTTTAACATAATCAATTCAAATGTAACTTGAGGTTCTCAAATTACCTATTTTCAACTCAAGTAAAGAACAATTAGGCCACTGCAGTCATTTCCTCATCTGAGTCACTTGATTCCTCATGTAGCTGTAGCTCCCCTAAATCTTTGTCCACCGGTGTAGTAGTTTTCTTCTTGTGCTTCTTGGGAACTGCATCGTTAGCACACATTTTTCTCATTTTAATGTTTGGCAATTTCTTCAGATCAAAATCCCATTCCCTACGCAAAAGAAAGAGTATACATGGTTGGCAGGCTGTGAGGTGGGAAGCAAGAAAAAGTCAATATTCAAAACTCTGAAAGGAGCAGAACAAAATTTGTAAATTTACAAGCAGATTCAAATGCACTAGAGAGAAACGATATAAATGCATTAGACAGAAATCCCATATATTCAAAACTCCCAAAGCAATACAGGAAAATGTTACACAAAAATTACAAGGAGGCTCTGTTCCATTCTTTTACTCTCTCTAACCAGAACACTTCGGTCAATAGGGCTCTATGGTATCAAGAATCTCACAAGTAGGAACTGTAACATACCTGGCAACTCTCCAAAATACATAGTCAGAAAAGTTTTTTTCACACACAGTGGTAAGTCACAGATAAGTTTCAGTCATCAAACAACTTTTATGGTTATAATAGAAAACTGAGTTTTTCAATCTCAGCATTTACTGTGACAATCCTACATTTTATTTACTTGAGGGGCAATGTGAAGATTGTTTTGAGAACTGAACTCCAGCAATACTAAAAATAGTCTATGCTAAATTCTTCTCTTTTCTGGCTTTCTTTCAGAGAGGCAGAACATACTTGTTTTAGAAATAAAGAGCACATTTATATATCTAATTAATATTACAGGCAAATAAAGTAATGAAGGTATGAAAAGAATCTTAAACTCTATGTATCTAAATTATAAATACATATACATGAGCTAAAAAGTAAAGTATTTCTTAAATATGATCGGTGAACTTTATTAGAGCCAATATTTTTTAAGTACTAAATACCAAGTATTTTTCTATGAATTCAAAAGTATAAAACTATAAAATGATCTTAAAGGTAACAAAGAATATGACTGGACTTAATTTATCTAATTGCAATTAACATAAAATTTGAGACCCATCAACATAATCTAATATCAAAAAGGTTAATAGGAATCATTTTTTCAAGACAAAGAAGCCAAGTTGGAAAAAACTGAAATCCTACTCAGGGGTCTGGCTGGTCTGAGTTCTGTTAGAGACCAAGGACCACCTGGTTCAGGAGACTCAGCCTTCCCCTGTTATCACTTTCCATTAACCAACTTCTCCAACAGAGGATCCTGCAAACAGTCTGGGATGTGACTCTGAGCCATCACATCAGTTGCTTTTATTTCTTTTTTTTTTTAAAAAATAAGAATTGGTGAGGAATAGCGAGATCGGGTTCTTTTAAGTACTCCAGTAAAGCATTTTAAAATGTTTTGAAAAGGAAATAAAAGGCTCATGTCACTAGCATTTCAGTGTGTATCTGGTGTTTCAAATAAACACAACTTGGAAAATTTTACTTTGTCTGATAAAAGAGAAAAGGTTAAAAAAAACAACCTGACTTTCTGTCAGCTCTGATGTCTACACTGAAAAGAAGGAATTTTATGTCTCATGTATCTGACATGCTGTTCAGGGAACAATAAAAGTGACAAACTCACCTAAAAGTTTTCAGATTACCTGCATTTAGAATATCTGGAATCTCTGGGAAAGAACATAATTCATATCCATTAGGTAATGTTTTCTAAATTACAACATTTTATAGTTTCATTTATTATATCAGATGCAACAAATAATAATTGACAGACAACAAGATCATCTAAAGCAAAACAAAACTCCAAAGCACTGTTATAATGCTACATGAAAGTAAGTTTTGCAAAAATAGAAGGCTTAGCTTAAGGTGATTTAAGAACGCTATTAAATAATAAATTCTAGCATAGAATATTTAAAAGAAAACAAATCTACAGTAATCCTCCCTTATCTGCAATTTCACTTTCCAAAGTTTCAGTCACCTGAGGTTAACTGCAATTTAAAGTTATGAAATGGAAAATTCCAGAAATAAAACAATACCTAAGTTTTTAATTGCAAGCCATTCCGAGCTTGATGAAATCATCTCACAATGCCCCGCTCTGTGCCGACTAGGACATGAACCATCCCTTTGTTCAGTGTCTCAACCAACCTGCTGTCGGCCACTTAGTAGTCGTCTTGGTTATCAGATCTCCTGTTGTGGGATCCCAGTGCTTGTGTTCCCTTATTTTACTTAATAATGGCCTCAAAGCGCAAGTAGTGATGCTGGAAATTCGGAAATGCCAAAGAGAAGCCATAAGGGCTTCCTTTAGATGAAAAGGTAAGTACTGTACGTCTAGCAGATTATGCTGCCAAACCATCTGATTTTTTAAGGCAAGCCAGAAATCTATATTTTTCATGAAAAATCACCAGGTTTTTTTTTTATACTAAGAATTAATAAGCCAATCAATACCATTTGCAGGCTATATGCAGGCTTTGGGTTGTGGCAGTGGTCGGCAAGCTCATTAGTCAACAGAGCCAAATATCAACAGTACAACGACTGAAATTTCTTTTGAGAGCCAAATTTTTTAAACTTAAACTATATAGGTAGGTACATTGTTATTAACTTAATTAGGGTACTCCTAAGGCTTAGGAAAAGCCACACTCAAGGGGCCAAAGAGCCGCATGTGGCTTGCGAGCCGCAGTTTGCTGACCACGGGTCTGTGGGCTTTGTAAGCCTTAAGTACCTTCTCCGTTTAAGTGCTTTTCTTCAGACAGTGTTGGTAAACTAATGACATACTTGTCCTTAGGAATGGTAAGAAGTACTATCATGCCCAGAATGAATATTGGATTTCTGTATTTCTCAAGAATGACTGCAACAACCACTGCTTGGTTCTATAAGAATTACAAAGACGACAAGGACACAGTACCACCTTCTAAAGAAACTTAGATGTAGCTGGAGATGGGCAGATATTAACTCTATAACAAAGCAAACAGGTATGTGCCAGAGGCAAGGAAAAACTTTACTTTCACAGTAGAAAGAAATGATGTCACTATCACAATGGACAGTTTTGGGGAGTGTAGAAAAAAAAAGAATGAATTAAAAATGATTCCATATACTCACAAAAGAAAGGAAATCAAAGGAAGAAAATCAAACTAAATAGAATAATAAACCTTTGAAGTGCACTACAAATCTGATATTGCTATGTATGTTAGAAAGAAAAAGGAGCATGGCAGTGAACACACCGAGGCCATAGCCTTCATACTGCTGTCGCTCCCGCTCCATCGTCTGTTTGATGACTGTCTCCCGGGAACAGTGCCGCCTTCCCTGCCTGTCTTTGATGCTGTTATGTAATTCAATCTGCTCCAGCTCACTGCTGAATCGATTTAAATACCTGAAAAATAAGAAAATGATCTGAGTTACAAAGTCTGCATTTTGGCTTACGCTATTTCATTGAAAACATAATTCCCAGCCTTTGCCTGTCTAAATCTTTATATTCCTCTGAGTTCAAGTCCTTAGACCTCAGACCTTCCCTGGATAACTCAACCATTCTCAATATTTTTGCAACCAAATCACCGCCTGCTATTAAAATATCTATTAAACTTCAGATGCTCATTTTCAACTATGTCCTGAACATCTTTATTTGAAAGTCCTGTTAAGGCTTAACACATCAAAACTGAACTTGTCCTCCTCCCCGACCCCACCCATCCCTACCAAGCCTACTCCATCTCTTTGGCTCCCTATCTCAAGAAACAGTACGACCATTCATCCGACTGCCCAAATAAGGAATAAAAGTGTCCTCCTTCATTCCTTTCCCCCTTTTATGCCACATCTGTTTTCACTAAAGATTGAGACTTCTCCCTTTTTTATATCTCTGGAAACCTTCTCTTCCCTTCCCTTCACCACACTGCTACTAAGCAAGCAGAGACTACCACCATCTCTTGCCTGGAGTATTTGTTTCATCAGCCTCTCAACGGTTTCCTGGCTAATGCCAGGTCTCTCAGGCCATTGTCCTCATTCTCACTACTGTGACCTTTCTAAAGTTTAAACATGATCGATCATCACCAGAGCTTGCTGTAAAAGCCTCCCATGGTTCTGAATGTCCTTTGATAAAGTCCAAACTCTTAAAATGATATCTGAGGTCTTTCACGAGTTGGTTGTCACTTATCATACCTGTCACAATTACCTCCTTGAACCTGTTATTTCAGTCATATCAGATGTCTGCCAGATCTCTATATAAGGCACTCTCACCTGTTGGCCTTTTAGATATTCGTCTCTGCCAGAGGCTCTTCAATCTGCCCTCAGATTGAAGAGCCTCTGACCCCTACCCTTCAGCTGTCGCTTCAGATGATATATCCCCAAGAAGCCTTTACTGACTCCAAAAAATTGGATTAACCACCACTGTGAGGTACAGAACGGTTACAGCCTGATAAAGTGAAGAGGCTAGGATATAAATCCAAAGCCTCTTTGATTATAAAGCCCATTTGCTCTTCTATAAATCCAGAACACAACTGTCTCTTGAAGAACCAGAGTGAAAAATTCCTTTTTCTGACCCTTTTCTCATAACATGCCCAGTGTTTACCTTTCAATTAATTCACAAGCATCCTTCTTTGAATACCCTCCTTTTTTGGGATCCAGATGATTTTGAAACCACTGCAGTTTTTCACCTATAACAAAAAGTACCAAGATTCATTTTAATTTTCAACATCAACGTGTTTATAACAGTATCAAATTTTATTTCCACACTAAATATAAAACCTTGTGTGGGCTCAAAGCTAATTAAACCAGTCGTAAGAAATTAAATTGTCACATTTTAATTTGGGGAAGAAACAGGAGCGAGAGGGATGCTTCTCTGTATATATTTCTTATCCAATAAGGATGCAAAAAATTTTTAACAAGAATACTTAAACAGAACATGAAGTTCTAAGTATTTAAAAAGCAAAGGGTAGAACTTGTCTCAAATAAAATGAAAACATTAGATTAATAATGAAAATGGTATCTGCAGAACATTTTATAAACAGCAAGCACTAAGTCAAGAGCTTCACAATTCTATAATTAGTACTATTATTATTCCCACTTACAAATGAGAACGGTTAAGTAACATGTTCAAGGCCTCAAAATTAGTAAATACATTAAGTGTACAAGATCTGCCAGATACAAAGAGCTAATGGACCTCATTCTTATGAGTAAATCAGACCATCAGGGTCACTTGCACAGTGATTTCTCAAAATTAGAGATGAAGAAATGGCCTACCCCAGAGACTGATAACCCACTTAGAAATACTACTTCATTACCTTATGAAGTGTTTGGTAAGGGTTCAAATACCTTTAATTTTAGTAATATTTTGAAATTTCAGGCTTATCAGTAAAAATTTACTAACAGTAAATTTGACACCTCTCACCCCCAAAAAGAGATTATGATACTGAGATATAAACTGAATATTTGGGAACATAACATATGCTGTTTCCAAAATACTTAGGCCATAATTCTAATGATTAAGGAGCTAGAATTAAACTTCAGCCATAGATAGATAGATAGACAGACAGACAAAAGCAAATAGGTAGACAGGTACATAGGTAGGTGATTATAAACCAAACAATTTTTGAAATACAAAATTAGATATTATTAACAACTAGAGGCCTGATGCACGAAATTCGTGCAAGGGGCTCAGCCCACACCACTGCGGCTTCGTCTGGAAGGTCGTCCAGGACTTCCGGTCTAATTAGCATATTACGTTTTTATTATTATAGATGTTCTAAGAGTTTAACAATTGATTTTATTTTGTACTGTTTTAATCAAGCCTGGTAAAGAAAATTCACTTAGATAAAAATAGTATTTCACTAGGAAAGTCAAAAGAAAAATAGGTATAGGGCAGAATTTCACTATACTCTAGCAAAAATGTCAAATAAGTAAGTCCACTTACCAATAAGATTGAGCCGCAATGCCTTTTCATTCTTCAACCTTGGAAGAAAAGGTGCATAAGTATGTTAGAGAATTTTCAAAGCACGTTTTTAAAATCTGTCAAAACAACAAAAAGAAAAACTGCCTAAAGAACCTTAATTCAAAGATCATTCTTTCATACACATGAAATTAATTTTGTTAATAAGGAAGCACTGAACATCATGCTTTTTTTTAAATCACTGGAATGAAATGTTATTAGAAAAATTTTCTTAGCTCTTCAGTGACTAAAGGATATGTATAAAACAATAAGTTTTATACAAATAGAGATGAGAACTTGACTAGATTATGAATGTTGAGGTGGGTTTTGTAGAATATTGTGCACAAAAGAGTGATGACGTAATTAATGCCTTCTAGAAGACTGAGTTCTGCCACTAAAACCAAAATACATTACTGTCACTTTTAAACTTCAACAAGAACAAAACAGAATGTTTACTGTTCATAAATTTGAAAAAAATTATAACAAAGAACTCATTTATTCTCAGAAAACAGTTTAGACAGTACGTATCTCCTTTTGTTTATATTCTAAATACTAAGTCACCCAGAAGAGAGCTTTGTATAGCTAGTGTTTGCCATCCACTAAGAATACTGTCCCTGTCCTAACAAAGCTGACCAGATTTACTCCCCTACTTTAAACTGGAAAAGTGGAAAATAAAATAAAACGTCTTTTATAAAAAAAATTTTAACCATAGAATGGGAGAAAATATTCACAAAATAAATAATTAACAAAGGATTTGCATTCAGAATATACAAACAGTTCTTCCTACTTAATGAGACAACCCAATACTAAAAAAAGCACAAAAGATTTCAACAGATTTTTTTTCATCAAATCAAAGGTATACAAATGACCAATAAACACATAAGATACTTAACATTGTTAGCCATCAAAATTACTAAGTGTGCAAATTAAACCACACTGAAATACTACTTATACTGAATAAATTTTAAAAAAACTGATAATACAATATTTTTGAGAGGATATGGAGCAAATGTAACACACACACTGGTGATTAAAATCTAAAGTGGTACGATCATTTTGGATAAGACAATTTCTTACATACTTAAACATTACACCTATCATATGACCAACAATTCTTATAAACTTAATTTCTTATATTCTTAAACATACATCAATTCCAATTCGAGGAACTAAAAGAAAAATGAAAATATATGTCCACATGAATGTTAATGGCAGCTTTATTTATGATAGTAGGGGCTGGCAAATATTTTCTTAAGTGGCCAGATAGTAAGATGTTAGGCTCTGCGGACCATGTGGCAACTACTTGCCTCCGCCATTGTAGCCTAAAAGCAGAAACAGACAATGCAAGAGGAATGGGCATAGCTACTTTCCATTAAAACTTTTTTATATAAAACCAGTGTTGGGCCCTTATTTTGCAGATCCTGATGACAGCCAAAAACTTTCAACAATCCAAATGACCATCAACTGGTGAATGGATAAACAAACTGCATAGCCATACAATGGAATACTATCCTATCTAATAAAAGAGAAACATGGTAATTAGCCATACCTCCGCTACCCTTCCCATTGGCTAATCAGTGAGATATGCAAATTAACTGCCAACCAAGATGGTGGCCGGCAGCCAGGCAGCTGACGCGAACAGGGAGGCTTGCTTGCTCCAGTGACGGAGGAAGCCAACGTCCCCGCCTGCCTTGCCGGCCTCTCAGCTGATCTCTAAGAAACATTGTTACAAATATAGAAGCTAAACAAAACCCCAGAAACCTGCTTTATGTCAGCCGGGCTTCAGCCAGCAGGACCGCAACATTGTTTCAAATACAGAAGGTAAACAAAGGCCAGAAACCTGCTTTCAGCAGCTGAGGTCTCAGAGCTGGAGCCGAGTCTCAGAGCTAAAGACGGCTCTCAGCTCCAGTGACAGCCATAGAAGGTAAAGAAACCCCAGAATAAAAAAGAAATAAGAAATAAAAGAGAGGTTGGGAGCTTCAGTCACCTGCCAGCCTGAAAACGGCCCTCAGCCCCTCACCCAGACTGGCCAGGCACCCCAGTGGGGACCCCCACCCTGAAGGGGGTGTGACCAGCTGCAAACCGCCATCATCCCCTCATCCAGGCTGGCCAGGCACCCCAGTGGGGACCCCCACCCTGAAGGGGGTGTGACCAGATGCAAACAGCCATCATCCCCTCACCCAGGCTGGCCAGGCACCCAAGAGGGACCCCCACCCTGATCCAGGACACCCTTCAGGGCAAACCAGATGGCCCCCACCCGTGCACCAGGCCTCTGTCCTATATAGTAAAAGGGTAATATGCCTCCCAGCACCGGGATCAGCGGAGCCGCAAGGCCTCCCGAACCCGGGATCAGCGGAGCCACGAGGCCTCCTGGCACCGGGATCAGTGGAGCAGCGAGGCCTCCCAGCACCGGGATCAGCGGAGCCACGAGGCCTCCCGGCCTGGGATCAGCAGAGCAGCGAGGCCTCCTGGCCTGGGATCAGCGGAGCAGCAAGGCCTCCCAGCACCGGGATCAACGGAGCAGCGAGGCCTCACTGCCCCTGTGTCAAGCGGAGCCTCGAGGCCTCCCAGCACCAGGATCAGCGGACCAGCGACGCCTCCTAGCACCGGGATCAGCTGAGCAGCGAGGCCTCACTGCCCCAGTGTCAAGCGGAGCTGCGAGGCCTCCAAGCACTGGGATCAGCGGAGCCATGAGGCCTCCTGGCCCCTGGAGCAGCGTGACAGGGGGCAGCGCCCAAACCCCCTGATCGCCCTGCGGCTCTGTGACAGGGGGCGGGGCCACAACCTCCCTATCCGCCCTGCTCTGTTCGTGACAGGGGAAGGCGCCCCAACCCCCTGATCGACCCTGCTCTGTGCCTGATAGGGGGGAGCTCCCCAACCCCCTGATCGGCCCTGCTCTGTGTGTGACTGGGTGCAGCGCCTCAACTCCCCCATGGGCCCTGCTCTGTGTGTGACAGGGTGGAGCCGCAACCTCCCCATCAGCCCTGCCCTGAGTGTGACAGGGGAAAGTGACCCAACCCCCCGATCCGCCCTGCTCTGTGCGAGACAGGGGGTGGCGCTGCAACCTCCCCATCGACCTTGCCTTGAGTGTGACAGGGGGTGGCGCCCCAACCCCCTAATCGGCCCTACCCTGAGTGTGACTGAGGGTGGCATCGCAGCCTCCTGATCCGCCCTGCTCTGTGCATGACAGGGGGCAGCGCCCCAACCCCCTGATCGGCTCTGCACTGTGGGTGACAGGGTATGGAGCCCCAACCCCGGATGGGCCCTGCTCTGTGCATGACAGGGGGCAGTGCCCCAACTCCCCAATCGGCCCTGCTCTGAGCCTGACCAGGGGCTGCAGGGCAGGCACCTAGGGATTGGGCCTGCCCTCTGCCACCCGGGAGCGGGCCTAAGCCAGCAGGTTATTATCTCCTGAGGGGTCCCAGACTGTGAGAGGGCACAAGTGGGGCTGAGGGATACCCTCCCCCCACCCCGCCAGTGCACAAATTTTTGTGCACCGGGCCTCTAGTTCAGTAATAAAAGAGAAAGACAACTAATATGTAAAATAAAATGGGTAAATTTCACAAACATTATGCTAAGTGAAAAAAGCTGGCACACAATATTACCTACAATATGATTCCATTTATATGAAACATTAAGAAAGACAAATCTCATCTATCAAAATAAAGAGCAAATCAGTGGTTGCCTGAGGCTGGAGTAAAGATTGACTGGGAAGAAGCATAGGGAATCTTTTGGGAAGATGAAAATACACTATACACTGACCATGGGATTACACCAGTTTATTATCAAAACCCCAGACCAGTACACTTAAAATATGTCTGTTTTATTGTATGTTATTTATACCTCAAAGTTGACTTAAAAAAAAAAAAGATGCTTCAAAACTGGGTAGAGAATGGCTTTGAGAAGAATTCATTCCTTTTAAATAAGCCTGGAGGGAAGAATCTAGTGAGTGGTCAGGCTGAATGAACTCAATGACGGCCTGAACCTGAAGAGAATGAGTTGGGATAATGAAAAGTAGAGAGATATGAGATTAATTCTCAAAAGTAGTTGTTTCCTAGATTCTTACCCATTATACTTAATTTCCCTTTTTTACCTTTTCATACTAAGTCATTTTCATTTAGTGTCTAGAGTTCCTTACTACATACCCTGTGGGACAAGACATGACAGTACATAATGAAATGTTGCTATGCTGGGAAATCCTATCTAATAATGGACAAACATGGTAATTGACCGTACCTTCACTATGCCTCCCATTGGCTAATCAGTGCGATATGCAAATTAACCACCAACAAAGATGGTGGCTAATTTGCATACTGCAGGCAGGGCGGGACAGCATGAGCCGCCAGCGGGAGCCGCCATCCAGGCCCCGTGTGCAGCCCCAGGAGCCACCTGCCTGCCACCCGGGACCGGATCCGGTCCAGGCCGCTGGCCGGCCCCAGAAGCCCCAGAAGCCGCCTGATATGGCAGTAACTCTATCAGTAAGCACTCTGAAAGTCAGTGGCATAAATGCACCAATTAAAAGACAGATTATGAGGGTGAATCAAAAACAAAACCCACTTTAAATATAAAGACACATATAAATTAAAAGTAAATGAATTAAGCTGCACCTGTTTTGCTCAGTGGATAGAGCATTAGCCCGTGAACTGAAGTGTCCCAGGTTCAATTCCAGTCAAGGGCATGTACCTCAGTTGCTGGCTTGATCCCCAGTCCCTATCAGAGCATGTGCAGGAGGCAACCAATCAATGTGTCTCTCCTTTTCCCTTCACTCTCTCTAAAATTCAATGGAAAAATATCTTTGGGTGAAGATTAACAAAAACAAAGTAAATGGATTAAGTAACATTAAAGAGATTATAAGAAAAATATATTCCAAATTTTGTTAGTTGTATAATGGTTATGTTTAAATTAGTAACACCTAAGAAATTGGGTGAAGGGTACATTTAATATGCTGTAGTATTTTATAGTTTTTTTTACATGTATGAGATTATTTCAAATTAAAATATTAAAAATTAATAAAATATTAATTGAAATGTGTATGCATTACATGAAAAATCTCCTAATTGCTTCTAGCATAATTTATTAACACATTGTTTGCGGGTAGTTTTTATCGCGCGCTAACAGGTGGCTCTACTACTTACAGTCAACGTAAAACGTATAAAAACGTTTCCCGCATACAATGTGTTAAATTGTGCTAAAATTTACAAGGGTTCAATTAAAAAATATCTTAATTCTAAATGATATAATAGAAAATATATAATAGTAAAATTATAAGCACTTATCTGAAAATAAAAATGTAAAGAAGTGAATTTAAAGAAGGGATTAGCCAAAGAAAATATATGCACAACCCATGGACACAGACTACAGTATGGTGATGGCCAGAGAAAAGTGGGGGGCAAGAGCTGGGTAGAGGGGGCAAAAGGGGGGGAAATAGGGACATCCTCTATCTAATCTAATAATAGACAAACATGGTAATTGACTGTACCTTCGCTACGCCTCCCATTGGCTAATCAGTACAATATGCAAATTAACCACCAACAAAGATGGCAGCTAATTTGCATACTGAAGGCAGGGCTGGCCAGCGCGAGCCACCATCCGGGCCCCCGTGTGCCGCCAAAGCCCCACCCCCAGCCAGGACCCCCGTGTGCGGCCCTGGGTGGGTGGGACCCCGTCTGCAGCCCTGGGCAGAGGGGCTCCCTGGATGCCAGAAGGATGTCTGACTGCAAGCTTAAGCCTGATCCCCCGGGGAGTGGGCCTAAGTCAACAGGTGGAAGCAGTATTTCACATAGTTCTAAATTAGAGCATTCAAATACTGAAGATGAGGACATGTTTGAACTCTTAACTCTGTTGCTACTCACTCTTGCAACATCTTTAAGTATTCAGAGGCCGTCAATAAGAGTCGATCTGATCAACCCAGCAGATCTGGTTCTGTATTCTCTATCACTGGACAAAGGCACTGCATCCTAACAGATGTCCTCCCAGATCCCTGCCCCCTCCCTAAAAAGAAGCCTTAGGACAGTGATGGCGAACCTATGCCACACGTGTCAGAGGTAACACGCAAACTCATTTTTTGGGTTGATTTTTCTTTGTTAAATGGCATTTAAATATATAAAATAAATATCAAAAATATAAGTCTTTGTTTTACTATGGTTGCAAATATCAAAAAATTTCTGTATGTGACACGGCACCAAAGTTAAGTTAGAGTTTTTCAAAATGCTGACACACCGAGCTCAAAAGGTTCGCCATCACTGCCTTAGGAAATGGTACAAAGAATCCTGGGTTCTGTGAAAAAAGTATGGATATTCCAAGCTGCCTGACTACCTTTGTTCCTTCGAAAACCAAGTGTCTTTGGTAGGCAGAGAGTAACAAGAGGTGGTAATATCTTAAAATGATCCCCACTGATTTTTACCTCTTCATATTCATGTCCTCACTCTCCAACCCATAACATATCTCTTATTTATTTATTTATTTATTTATTTATTTATTTAATCCTCACCTGAGGATATTTTTAGAGAGACTAGAAGAAAAGGAGGGAGGGAGGGAGAGAAAAAAAGAGAAACATTGATGTGAGAGAGACACATAGATTGGTTGCCTCCCGCACACACCCTGGGGCCAGGGATAGAGTCTACAACCCAGGTACCTGCCCTTGACAGGGAATCAAACCATGACCCTTGGTGCTCGGGCCAACACTCTAACCACTTAACACACTAGTCAGGGCTAATATAATTTTTAAAGGAAGAATACTAATGAGGAAGAAATGTATAAATGGGCTTTTCACCAAAGCACAATACAAATAATAAAAAGACACTTACTTTTCCTTTTTTTCTTGTTTGTGGGCCTCCCTCGTAATTTGAGCTGCTTTTCTACTATATGGATGGATGACTTTTTTTTCTCGTCCTACACCTTTTCCCTTTAGTGCTTTAGGCTAAAAGGTAGGAAAACATATGATACATATAAGTCAGATATATAACTAATTTATGTCAAAAATTTTTCTTCAGAAATAAATGTTAAAAATAATAACATAACAGAAATACTTTGAGCCTGAAACACGACATCAGGATTCAGAAGATAAGCCAGATCTTTTAAATAATTCAAACAGTCTGTTTCCATGGTCATAAGAGAAATGATATATTGAGAACTATTCTCCATGATGTAAAAAAATTAAAGAAACAAACAGGGTCAATAAAGCCAGCTCTTCAGCTGTTCCCTCTTCAAAGTAGGTACAGAGAATGCTGAGAGTGAAGGGCCTTACAACTGGAAATTTGTGTTACAGTTAAGAAAGTTAAGGGGGCAGAAAGAACATAAGATATTAATAGGAGCTTTACTGGAGAGGATGCACATGGAACAGATTGGGCAGTGAATCAAACAAAATCAAAGTTGGGCACATAGGAAAATAGGAACAGAGGAAATAATAGGAGCCATCTCAAAATTAGCACATCCCCAAAGGAAACCATTATTTTCCCATTCAAGCCTTACGCCAGGTACCAAGGTCATAATTCATTCAGTTCTCTAAACCTGTACATTTCTAATAGTAAGTCTATTCCTACATAACTCTGTATCCCATTACACCTATTTATTATTTAGAAATTAGGTTTGGCTTCCTATAATAGACACACAAAATAACAATGGCTTAACCCAGATAAAGTTCTCTCATGTAAAAAGTAGAAGCTAGAGGCTCTGCTCCACAAAGCCCTCAGAGATCCAGGCTACTTCCATTTTATTATCTAATAACCTTAGGCTATAACTTCCTATATATACATATACAGCGTGTCCAAAACAAAGTATACACACACTTTGAGTAATGTAAAGGCGGTGTTTATTAAAATACATTTCCTTTTCATTTAACAGCTATCAGCTGTTAAAGTGTATATACATTTTTTGGGGGGGACACCCTACAGTTCAAGATGACTTAACACCAAGTCTAAACTGCAGCCAGTGAGAAGGAGAAAAGAAAATCAAAAGGCATACCCCTTTCCTTTAAGAGCAAGATCTGGGAAGTTGCAGTCTTCTGCTTGCATACCACTGACCAAAATTTAATCAGAGTTGTATGAGAGAAAGTAATAAATATAATCTTTATTCTCAGAAAATATAAATTGCTGTAGAAGAGTCTATTAGGAAACAGCTAGCAGTCTCTAACATACCTAATATTCAAAAAGGTCAAATGTTTCTAAAATACTCTCTTCAAAATATTACCATTGCTTTAATTCAGCTTCATGACCTTTCATGAATGGGATGGCCTTTAGGTTCTCACTGCCAGTCCTTTTTACATGGAAGTCACAAGAGCTTACTTTTCTACACTAACTCACTCTACTAGCTGACAGTTAGGTCCAAGTCCTTAACATGGAAAACAATCTACCCCCAACCTACTTCTCCAGCATTATCTCTCTTCCTTCGGAATATCCACCATCCCATTCTTACTAAACATTCTTACTGTTCTGTAAGTTCTTGAGACTGTACCTGTCACCTCTGCCTACAAAATACTTTTCTTTGTCCTTTGATAGGACGCAGCTCACAGTAACTTCCTTTGTAAAACTCTCCAGACAGAATTAATTAAAAGGACCACCAATTCCTCATTCACACATGTACCCATTCCTTCAACAAATATTTACTAAAATATTCCACAAAGACTTGTTGCTTGCTTCTTGATAACCTGACCAGAAAAGATAGCTCCAGGTCTGCAACACAAAATGGCACTGGAAATTGGTTACAGGTATAAGGGAAGAGTAAAACCATCATAAACAGTATGTGGATTCTTTTGTGTGCCTCTGCTCCTGTGGAGATGAGGAGCAGGGAAGAGAGGAAGGTGTGATAAAAAAAAATTTTTGCATGAAGTTTACCTAGCAAATATGTATCAAGTAAAAACTTTCAGAACTCATGGTAGGTTGCCTCTAAGATGGTCCCCAATGAATCCCACCTCCTAATATTCATGCTCATGTCTAATCCTCTTCCTTTGAGCGTAGTCCTAGCGACTCACTTTTAGTAAACAACATTTGGCATAAGCGATGAGATTTCAACCCCGAGGTTAGGTTTTGAAAGAAAGGACTTTGACTTCTGTCTTGCCTACTCTCTTGACTTACTCTGATGGAAACCAGCTACCATGTCGTGAGCTGTCCTATGGAGAGGCCTATGTGACAACTACCTAGAAGCTTCCAGCCAATAACTAGTGAAGAACTGAGGCCCTGTCAGGTAGTCCAAGAGGCACTGAATGTACCAAGAACCACGTGAATGAGCTGGGAAGTGGATCCTCCCCAGTTGTTACTTGGGGTTAACCAGGGATGGGGAACCTTTTTCTGCCAAGGGCTATTTGGATACTTAAATCATTTGTAGGCCATACAAAATTATCAACTTAAAAATTAGCCTCCATGCCGAACCGGTTTGGCTCAGTGGATAGAGCCTCGGCCTGCGGACTGAAGGGTCCCGGGTTCGATTCCGGTCAAGGGCATGTACCTTGGTTGCGGGCATATCCCCAGTAGAGGGTGTGGAGGAGGCAGCTGATCGATGTTTCTCTCTCATCGATGTTTCTAACTCTCTATCCCTCTCCCTTCCTCTCTGTAAAAAATCAATAAAATATATTTAAAAAAAAAATTAGCCTCCTATATTTGGTCAAACATTTAATTAACTCACCCCTAATGCCTTGGCAGGGCCAGACCAAATGATTTCACAGGCCTTATACAGCCCTTGGGCCAGACATTCTCCACCCCTGTTAAACTAAAGCCTCAGATTGTACCTTGAAGACAACCTTGTAAGAAACCTAGAGGCAAGGAAATGGTAAACCATGCCTGATCCCTGACCCACAGAAACTGTGAGATAATAAATGCTATTGTATTAAGCCATTAAATTTTGGAATAGCTTGTTACCCAGAGAGATCAACTAATTCAAGACCAAAAACCAAAACAACAACAAAATAAAGCAAAGATGTGCTCTTTAAAAAGATATCTTTGTTTCATATCCTAACAAATAAAATGAAAGTCACAAAAAGAAAAAAAGATGCTATCTGAAGCTGCTAAAACTTAACAACTACAGTTAGGTCCATAAAAATTTATTTAGAACAAGAAATACTTTGATACCCTTAGAGTATGAAAATGTCCTCAGAGCTTTAGAAGATCTCAGGTAAAGAACCTTCGAGACTTAGTACAAAGAAACTGAACATGTATTCTGACTCAAGTGTGCTTTATGATTCCTTATAATAACTTATTCATAAAAAGGTTGCCTCAAGGCAGGGGATGTATATTTAATAAGGCACAGAAATAACACTAAATTTCAAAACATTTTCCTATTTTTCAGTATATCACAATAAAAAAAAACACAACAAAATGCTTCAACAAGGAAACTGAAGTAAAACCCTGTCAATAAAATGTTAATCTATTAAGCAGTCTATTCAATATAGACTTAAGTAAAAAGCAATTAGTCTCTATTGGTCAGGGGTTCTCCAAATGAATTTCGTAGAGCATCTGATGATTCATGAATAATACAGAACATAAACAGATAACAAAACTAGGGGAGTTAAAAGTGCACTTTCAATGGAAGATTAACATTTTATGTTTTAAAAAATACCAAATTTAACTTTCAAAGAGATAGCAAAAATAAAATTTATTTTCATAGGCATAACTAATAGATTGTTCTGAATAACTGACTACATCGTACTTCAAAAAGTTTCTAGCCCAGAAGTATTCTAGTCAGAAAACTTGTACTGAAAGTATCTTTTCCCCACAATCTTTAATGGGGAAAATTCTAAACTATTCTTTGAATTCAGAATTGAGAGTTACAGAAGAAAACATAGTTTACTCAAAAAACAGCAACAGAGAGGTATTTCCAGGGCAATAAGCTTCACATATTCCTATTAAAATAAAAAATAACAAAGAGAAACTGGGGGTAGAAAGGTGGTTGTCAGGAATGAGGTGGGGGGTGGGGGGGAGAAATGGGATAGGTGGGCAATAGATACAAAACTTTCCAGTTATAAGAATGATTATGTTTCTGGGGATTTTAAGGCACAGCATGGTGACTACAGTTAAAAATATTATAGTATATACTTGAAAGTTACTAAGAAAGTTAATCTTCAAAGTACTCACAACAGGGGGAAAAAAGGTAACATGTGAAGTGGGGGATTGTTACCTAAGCTTACTGTGGCAACAATTTCACAATATATTCAACAAATCAGGATGTATATCTTAAACTTATACAATGTTACATGTCAATTACATCTCAATACAGCAAACAAGCAAATTAAAAAAAAAAACAAGATGTTTAAGCTGATTTGCTGTTATAGCTCACATTTGTAGGTGTGAAACCAACAGCACACAATTCTTGTCATTAAGGAATATTTAGGTAGTCAATTATAGTTAATGCCCACAGTAATCAAGGGAGGACAGTGGCATATGTTTTAATGGTTTATAATCTAGCCAAGTAGACAAGCACATTTAAACTCAAATAATGGGCTTATACAAAAAAAGAAAAAGTATACCTGTGAGTGCCTGCCTAGTAGCCAAGCACACACAAAACTTAAAAGCACTAGAACCTTTTTTTAAATGCAGAATAAAAAGTGTTGCATGGGATGAATTTGAAGAGTCATGTTAGTTAAATTTTTATATGAACTTGTGAAGCTCTAGGAAAGATTCACAATAAACAAAAATAAATGAACAAAAAACAAAAGTGGACAACTACAAACTGTACTGTTACTATTGACAACTGATACGAAAGTTAATTACAACTAACATTTACTAAATACCAGACATCTGGATAATTGGTTTACACAATTCTCTGAGGTAGGCACTATGGTTTCCCCAATTTAATAGGCATGACCACCAAGAGGGGTGTAGTAAGTTCGCCAAGATCATCATTTAGTAAAGATACAGGTGCCAAACTCAGTCCTCTGGGATGCCATAGCCCACAATCTGAGCTGCACTGAAAGAAGTTTAGAGGAACTGATATAAAGGTGTGGATGGAAAACTCCCAGTTCCAAGCTGAGTTTAAGTACAAGAGAGGACGTAGCAGAGTCACAGGAGATATACCAGAAAATCGAGAGGGTGGGAAATGTGCCAAAGAGAACAGACTCATATGCCCCTCTTTTGACTCTTACAAGGCAATACACTCCTACTCTCCAGCCTGACAAAAGTGAAGTTCTCATGGACAAGGACGGCAGGCGAATGCCAATCAACCCCAATCACTCACCTCCAATCCCATTATTAGTGTTTTAATGTTCCATTCTGAAAAGGAAAGGCTATAAAAGGAAATTGTAAGAGGCTGGAAATAGCACAAGCGTAGCGAGAAGCAAAAACTGAATGTACACAAACATGACTATAATCTAAAGCCAAAAGACTGTAGACATGAAAGACAGAAATAGCCCCACAACAAAAATAAAGGATCCGTGGAAGAGGAAAAAGACGTACGTTGTAGCCAGAGTATCCCAAGTTTTTATGATGTTGTTTTTATTAAACACTAGTTGTTATAAAACATGTTCCTATTTAAGAATGATTCTCAAGAACATAAGTGAAAAAAGCAAGAAACAAGAAACAGTTTGGGGATGCAAACGTAAGTGGTAACCTTAAAGGCAAGCAAGGGAATTACAAACACAGAATCTGGATACTTCTGACCTCTGAAGGGCTCCTGATGGTTAATCAAGGGGCACACAGAGGCTTGCAAAAGCTACGTTGTTTTACGTCTTAAACCGGACAGTGGATAAACACGCTTTCCTTATACCGCTCGTCGTTACACTTCAGTGGGCTTTACATAAATACTCTTTCCCATCTCAGTTTTTAATGAATACACGTTTCGGTGCCTGAGCGGGAACGGGGGGCGTGGAGGCAGGACTTGGGGCGAGAGTGGGGCCCTGGAGGGCGGTGCCTGGAGACCGAGGAGGCGGCGGCGGAGCCCACGCAGCCCACACGGGCAGGAGGAGCGGCACAGGGCATGGAAGCAGCGTGTTTACGAGTTTGGCCGAATAGCAATAGCGAGAACACGTGCAGCTGCGGATTTTCCGCGACGGGGAAGAACTTAAGCAGGAGGGAGGCGAGAAGGGCCAGGGCGCCTGCGAGGACTTGGGAACTCGAGAGCAGAGCTTCAAGGTCCGGACGCCGGGCTGGGGCCCTCCTCCCGGCCTCCAATCTCGGGGCACCCCCTGGGACAATCACTTCGCGTGCTCCTCTCCCAGCTTCCCCAGACCTCCCCCTGCCTCCCCGATCGGGAGCCATCTCGGGAGCCAAACGGGTTCAAAGGAGCGGGAGGGGCCCACCATGGTGACGTCCTCGCGCCCCGGGGACCTCCGCACTCCACGTCGGGCAGCCTCACCGACGGCGGCGCCTCAGCTCACACAGGGGATCCAGGCAGAACACACGTGGGGTCCCGAGAAGCCGGGGCGGACCCGACCGGAAGGGGCGGGGCGAGTACGTCGCTCTAAAACGTCCGGGGGAACCGCGACCTGGTCTTTTTTCGCCCGCGTTGGCGTTGAAGCCCTAGCCCTGCGGCAGCCTCCCCGCGTGCTCGCGACGCGCGAGGGCGGGAGCTTGGCCGGAGGGTGAATCCGGCTCCCTGACGCCGGACGCTCAGGCTCGGGGCGCCCCAGGCCAGGACGCGGGTCCTGGGCATCAGCCAGGTGCACAACTCCAGGCCGGACGAGGCTCTTCTCCTGGGCTCTTGGGGGCTGCTCAGGACTGACAAAATGAACCCCCTGGTCCTCCTTTCCAATCCCACTCTCCGTCACCCAACAACTGCTTAAGATAGTGTGCAGACATCTTTCGAGATATTTCCCTGAGCTTGAACAAATGCAGAGAGAGGTGTGTGTTTGTGTAGACTGGTTAAGTATTTGTTAACATTAGATACAGATACAATGGGAATACACGCTTCATTTCTAGGGCAAACATTAAAAGAATAGAAACAGGACACAAACAGAGAAAATAAATGAATAATTTTTTAAAAACACATTCAAAGCAGGGAAATAAAAAAAAAGAGAAACAGGAAGGTAAGGGAAATAGAAAATAAAAATAGGGTGGTAGATTTAAATCCATATGGTTGTGGACTAAGTGCCCTAATTAAAATAATAACATTATATTGGATTTAAAACACACAACTATGTCCTGTTTGTAAGAGATATCTAAAATATAAGGAAACAAAATTTAAAAAATATGGGACAGGTATGCTAAGCAAATACTAATGAAAAGAATGATAGTATAGATATATCAATATTAAACAAAAAAGACAAAGTCAAGAAGTATGGTAGATAGAAAAGATTACTTCATAAAGATAAAACGTTTCTATTTTAAATATATGTGTGCTTAATAATATTGCTCCAGATATATAATGGAAAAGAACTGATAAATTTTCAAGAAAGAAAAACCAACTGCCTTGGTGGCAAATTACCGTTTTTAGTAATTAATAGGAAAAAATCTGGTAAAATGTTAAAAATGATTTTGAAAACAACCACAAAACAACTTGACCTAACAGGTCTATTTAGAATACTATTTCCAATGCTTGCAAAAATACATTACCCACCCCCAAACCTATTGTCTTACGCAAGAATCTTATCTTCACTTGCTACATACTCGGCCTACTAAACTAATTCAAAACATGGAAGGAAAAAAATGAACTCAGCATTTGTATATTTCTTTTACAAAGTTTTATTTTAACAAAACTCAACAGTTCAGATAAAATATAAGTAAACTTAAGTGTTCCCAATCTCTAAATATAACTCACCCTCACAAAGTGAATATGTGTATATATATTTTTTTCCACAAATCATTGTAGACCTCTGGAGCAATCATTATGTCTGTTGTTTCCTCTACTAAAACCAAGTAGAAATTGAACTTATCAATTCTGCAATTTATATTTTCTCTCCAAAGCTATTTTTATTAGAGATGCTGATAGGTTTTATTTCTATTTGAAGTACACACTACCATAAATACTTTTCCATACTATTAGAAAAAATTAGCAAATAAATTACACAAAGGTAAGATAAAACATTTATTTTTAATAGATTTTAAATCAAGGATCAAAACTGGCACCTTGAGGATATGTTTTGTGTTATTTTTTTTCCAACACAGTGTTCAGAAATTTTTAAATTTTAAATGCCTTTAAATGGGTTTATATTCTCTAGTTTGTCAAAGAATCCTTCTCATATAACATCTGACATAAACTCATGGTACATTTCTAGCCCAATAGGCACTTGAGTTTGCCAATCCCTACTTCATGTGGATAAACCAAAAAATAATAAATGAATAGTTTCTTCCTATTTACAGAAAACTTTTGACTGTCTTCCAAAATGATCTCTAAAATGAGTAATGGACATTTTTCCAAGACAACTAAATTCTTGGCATGTTGACTTAAAAATATTTGGCTCGCCTTTTGTCAGTGATAACCTCTTCTTAATAGGGAAAATAGAATGTGGTATCATGTCTTTGATTTATTTGGCTAAGTTGTGTTCACAGCCACATTATGTAATTTTACATTATCAGCATACTCTATACTTACATGGTTATTTTCAATTGTATACTTGTAAATATAAACTAAAAGATGAAAATGCTTAAAGGAAATATTATTAAAAATTAATACATAACTTTCCAGACTTTTAAAAAATATATCACTTTAAAATACTTTACATGTAATTTACAAAATATCATTTTCTTTATAGTATAAAAATCCAGTCTTATTGAATGACAACAGGGAATTCATATTCACTACCTAGGGTATTAAATCTCCAAGACCAGATTCTTTTCTTAACAAAACTGACCTTTTGTAATGTTAAAGACTTTCTATTTAATACTTTAGGAAATAGTTGTGCAATGCTTTAAATGAATGGAAGAATTTGGGAACTTGAAAAGAAATGTAAAGCAGATCCTATTTCTCTGATCTTTTTTCATATGAACACTATCTCACAGATCATTTTTAAATTATCATGTTTACTAATTGGATTTATTAGAACTCTTCTCGCCAAAATAATAGTGAGCTACCTTTGTTAATATTACTGCTTTCCAGTCAGTCCCTAGTTGTTTGCTGAATGTGTTTTTTTTCTCTAATTCCTATCTTTACTCCTAGTCCAACTCTACTTTGTTTTTCTTTTCTTCTCCTTTCTCCAAGAGTATAAGTGAACATTAATTTGCAAAGGGCACTGGGAGTGAGGAATACAAGATGACCTCTTAAGGACTTTTCCTTCCAACATTCCTTTGGCAAGTATTAAAATCTTGTTATTGTCATACTATTATGATTTATTTGAATATGCATCCTTGAAAATAACAAAACTAGTTTAAATGGCAAATGACATTTAAAATATTTTTTTCTGAGTTATAATGTAAGGGACATATAAAGAGTAGCAAAACCCCTAGTTAGTTGTTTACAACCTGATTGAACACTGAAATCCTCCGGGGAGCTTTTAATATTACTGCTGCCCAGACACATCACCCAGAAATTCTGATTTAATTGGTTCGGAGTGCATACCAGACATGAGATTTTTAAAAACTCCCCAGATAGCTCTAAAGTACAACCAGTGTTAGGAACCACTAGTCCATCCACAGGTGACTATTTTCAACTTTGACTACACATTAGAAACAATGCATGCATTTAAAAAATATAGCTTCCCAACTCTACTTCTAGAAATTCAAATTCAGTTTGTCTGGGGTGGAACCCAGTATTGTTTTTGTTTGTTTGGTTTTTATTTTTTTTAGTGTCGTGATTTTAATGTGAAGTCAACGTTAAGAATTATTACTCAAGAATCAAGATGTTTAACATCAAAGCATGGGAGATGATATCCTGTCATTGTGTTTCATGTTTTTGATGACAAGCTAGAACCCTTGCCTGCTAGAAGAACTCAATGGCATAAACTTAGTTTTATGAGTAAGGAAGTTAATTTTGTTTTAAGAATTATTTGTAGTAACAGTAATAGTATTTTAGGGTATACTGGGGGAAATTGCAGTATACCCTGCCACTGAGCAGTTTTGGATTTGATCTTGTAATTTTTGGCCAAATTTGTCATTGTAGTTTTATCTCTAAGTCGGAATCTTCGATTGCTCTAAGAAAGCCTATGTTGACATAGTATCTCCATAATTGGCTAGACTGAAAGCGACTTTAGATAATGTCTATCGATGCTCTGCTGTAAAGAGTGATGTTTCCAAAACAGAAGCAATGCATATAAAAGAACCACAACCTCAAGAATGGCTTCCTATAACATATGGATATAAGAATAACTCCCTTTTGAATGTATAACATGAGGAAAGGTATCAAACATTTAGCCACTGTTAATAATGCTGAACATGTAAGTAACAAAGCACATATTTAAAACCCATTCCATCGGGCCTGGAAGGAGATGGTCACGTGCAGAAAAAGCAGCGGAGTCACAGTCACGTGGTGGAAGAATTCCGAGGCAGGCGGTGCATCCCAGTGGTCAGTCTCGCGACAAAGTCTGGCGCGCGCATGCACGCACGCACGCACGCACGCACGCACGCAGGCACGCAGGCACGCATGCACACGAGCCCTGGCCAGGCAGTTGCTGACCTCCTGACCTCGAGGAGGCGGGGCAAGGACGTGGGCGTCACGTGACTTAACGTGACTGACTTAACGGCCGAGGGGCTGCCGCCAACGTCCATTCTGCAGGAACCATGGACAGTGCCGCCGCCGTCCGCTCTGCGGGAACCATGGACGGCGCCGCCATGGCCGCCGTGGCCGACGACCCCAAGCCCGACGCGGACACCGTGCAGGTGCTGCGGGACCTGGCCAACCGCCTGCGGATCCACTCCATCCGGGCCACGTGCGCCTCCAGCTCCGGCCACCCCACGTCGTGCTGCAGCGCCGCCGAGATCATGTCGGTGCTCTTCTTCCACACGATGCGGTACAAGCAGGCGGAGCCCGAACACCCGGACAACGACCGGTTCGTCCTCTCCAAGGGCCACGCCGCGCCCATCCTCTACGCCGCCTGGGCGGAGGTGGGCGACATCAGCGAGGCGGACCTGCTGAGCCTGCGCAAGATCCACAGTGACCTGGAGGGGCATCCCACGCCGCGGCTGGCCTTCGTGGACGTGGCGACCGGGTCGCTGGGGCAGGGGCTGGGGGCCGCGTGCGGCATGGCCTACACCGGCAAGTACTTCGACAAGGCCAGCTACCGCGTCTTCTGCCTCCTGGGCGACGGCGAGTCCTCCGAGGGCTCCATCTGGGAGGCGCTGGCCTTCGCCTCCCACTACAGCCTGGACAACCTGGTGGCCGTCTTCGACGTGAACCGCCTCGGGCAGAGCGGGCCCACGCCCCTGGAGCACTGCACCGACATGTACCAGAAGCGCTGCGAGGCCTTCGGCTGGACCACCTACCTGGTGGACGGCCACGACGTGGAGGCCCTGTGCCACGCCTTCTGGCAGGCGGCGCGGGTGAAGAACAAGCCCACGGCCATCG